TGGACGCAACTGTAGTTGTTGGAGCTTCTGTGGTTGTTGTTGGAGCATCTATGGTTGTTGTTAGAACATCTGTGGTTGTTGTTGGAGCACTTGTGGTTGTGGTGAGAGCAGCTGTGGTTGTTGTTGGAGCAGCTGTGCTTGTTGTGGCAGGAACAGCTGGGGTTGTGGTTGGAGAAGCTGCTGTGGTTGAAGCTGCTGTGGTTGTTATGGGAGCATCTGTGGTTGTCGTAGGAGCAACTGTGGTTGTTGTGGATGCAACTGTAGATGTTGGAGCCTCTGTGGTTGTTGTTGGAGCACCTATTGTTGTTGTTGGAATAGCTTTAGTTGTTGTTTTAGCAGCATTGGTTGTAGTTGAAGCAGCTGTGGTTGTGGTTGGAGCAGCTGTGGTTGTTGTTGGAGCGCCTGTGGTTGTGGTGGGAGCCGCTGTGGTTGTGGTTGGAGCAGCTGTGGTTGTTGTGGTTGCAGCTGTGGTTGTGGTTGGTGCAACTGTGGTTGTTGTGGATGCAACTGTAGTTGTTGGAGCATCTGTGGTTGTTGTTGGAGCATCTATGGTTGTTGTTGGAGCATCTATGGTTGTTGTTAGAACATCTGTAGTTGTTCTTTGAGCAGCATTGGTTGTCGTTGGAGCAGCTTTGGTTGTGGTTTGAGCAGCTGTGGTTGTTGTTGGAGCACCTGTGGTTGTGGTGAGAGCAGCTGTGGTTGTTGTTGGAGCAGCTGTGCTTGTTGTGGCAGGAACAGCTGGGGTTGTGGTTGGAGAAGCTGCTGTGGTTGAAGCTGCTGTGGTTGTTATGGGAGCATCTGTGGTTGTCGTAGGAGCAACTGTGGTTGTTGTGGATGCAACTGTAGATGTTGGAGCCTCTGTGGTTGTTGTTGGAGCTCCTATTGTTGTTGTTGGAATAGCTTTAGTTGTTGTTTTAGCAGCATTGGTTGTAGGTGAAGCAGCTGTGGTTGTGGTTGGAGCAGCTGTGGTTGTTGTTGGAGTGCCTGTGGTTGTGGTGGGAGCCGCTGTGGTTGTGGTTGGAGCAGCTGTGGTTGTTGTGGTAGCAGCTGTGGTTGTGGTTGGTGCAGCTGTGGTTGTTGTTGGAGCACCTGTGGTTGTGGTGGGAGCAGATGTGGTTGTGGTTGGGGCAGCTGTGGTTGTGGTTGGAGCAGCTGTGGTTTTGGTAGAGGCAGCTGTGGTAGTAGTTGGATCAGCATTGCTTGTAGTTGGAGCATCTGTGGTTGTTGTGGCAGGAACAGCTATGGTTGTGGTTGGAGCAGCTCTAGTTGTGGGTGGAGCAGATGTGGTTGTTGTTGGAGCAACTGTGGTTGTTGTGGATGTAACTGTAGTTGTTGTTGGAGCTTCTGTGGTTATTGTTGGTGCAGCTATGGTTGTTGTGGGAGCAGCTGTAGTTGTTTGGGTAGCACCTATGCTTGTTGTTGGTGCAGCTGTGGTTGTAGTTGGAACAGCTGTGGTTGTGGTTGGAACAGCTGTGCTGGTTGTGGGAGCAGCTGTGTTTGTTGTGGGAGCAACTGTGGTTGTTGTGGGAGCACCTGTGGTTATTGTTTGAGCTGCTGTGGTTGTCGTTGGAGCACCTATTGTTGTTGTTGGAACAGCTGTAGTTTTTGTTTGAGCAGCATTGGTTGTTGTTGGAGTATCTGTGGTTGTGGTTGGAGCATCTGTGGTTGTCGTTGGAGCACCCGTGGTTGTGGTGGGAGCAGTTGTGGTTGTACTTGGAGCAGCTGTGGTTGTGGTTGGAACCGCTGTGGTTGTTGTGGGAGAAGCTGTGGTTGTTGTGGGAGCACCTGTGGTTGTTGTTGATTCAACTTTAGTTGTTGGAGCTTCTGTGGTTGTTGTTGGAGCAGATGTGGTTGTGCTTGGAACAGCTGTGGTTGCACTTGGAACAGTTATGGTTGTGGTTGGAGAAGCTTTGTTTGTGTTTGGAGCAGCACTGGTTGTGCTTGGAACTGCAGTTGTAGTTTTGACAGCAGCTGTGGTTGTGGTTGGAGCAGCTGTGGTGATGGTGGGAGCAATACTTGAAGTTGTGGCAGCAGCTGTAGATGTGGTTGGAGCAGCTGTGGTTGTGGTTGGAGCAGCTGTGGTTGTGGATGGAGCAGCAGTGGTTGTGGTTGGAACTGCAGTTGTAGGTATGGCAGCAGCTGTAGTTGTGGTTGGAGCAGCAGTGGTTGTGGTTGGAGCAGCTGTTGTTATGGTTGGAGCCAAAGTGGTTGTGGTTGGAACTGCAGCTGTAGTTGTGGCAGCATCTGTAGTTGTGGTTGGAGCAGCTGTGGTTGTGCTTGGAGCAGCTGTGGTTGTTGTGGGAGCAGCTGTAGTTGTGGTTGGAGCAGCTGTGGGTGTGACTGAAGTAGCAGTGGTTGTTGTGTCTGTAGCTTTGGTTGTGACAGAAACAGCTGTGGATGTGGTTGAAGCATCTGTGGTTGTTGTAGCAGCAGATGTTGTTGTGCTTGGAGCAGCTGTAGTTGTTGTAGGAGCAGCAGCGGTTGTGGGAACAGATGTGGTTGTAGTTGGAGCAGTTGTGCTTGTTGTGGGAGCAGCTTTTGTTGTGGTTGGAGCATTTGTGGTTGTGCTTGGAGCAGCTGTGGTTGTAGTCGGAGCAGCTGTGGTTGTGGTTGGAGCAGCTGTTGTGCTGGGATCAGCTGCGGTTGTTGTTGGAGCAGGAGTGGTAGTGCTCGGAGCAGCTGTTTTTGTGCTTGGTGAAGCTGTGGTTGTGCTTGGAGAAGCTGTGGTTGTTGTGGGAGCAGCTGAGATTATTCTTGGAGCAGATGTGGTTGTGCTTGGAGCAGCTGTTGTTGTTGTGGGAGCAGCTGTGG